TTAAGGCTTTAAACATCTCATACATATTTAGTTCTTCATTTTGTTTTAGATTAACTTAGACAAATTTGTAAATACAAAATCATTGTACTCTTTCTTCATATTTTAGTGAAATCTCTTTTCCTCTACCAATTATCTTGTTCTCGTGCGTTTGTGATCAATTACTTTATATTGTGCTATATTTTCTTTTCTTGCATATTATTACAACAAACTGGCATCAGAGCGATCTGATATTCGTTTTATTCTTTACAGATGTAATGATTCTTCATCTTGGGGATGCATATCATCTCATCGCATACAAAAAAATAATTAATAAACTTGATTTTTGAAACATGGCTATGCTTGTTGGTTGTTTCTCAGTTTAATGTCTAAAGATGATGCCTGACATGATGATCTAGGAAGTACCGTTTGTTTTAGGAAAATACTTATAAAATACGAGTAATGTTATTTAGCACCACTTGTATTATACACAATTTAGGTAATAATTACATGACATTAAATGATAAATTCACTTAAATATAATATCGCATGATTCATTTAATTGAACATATTAAGTATCATCACATAAAGTGATGCTCTATCATTGGTGATAGATAGTATTATTCCATAAATACCCTTAAAAAGTTTACTATTAATACTTTTTTTAATTCTCAAAATCCTGTTTTTCTATTATTTTTTGATTTAGGGGGGAGTATATTCAATTGAGACTTTCAGAAAAATTTTGGGATTTCAAATGTTGAGAGGTATTCAATATAGACTTTTTGAAACTCTCTGAAAGTATTGATATATTTAATCGAGACTTTTATAAATTTTTAAAAAGTCTTACAATGTATTTAGTTAAAACTTTGTAGAAACTATAAGTCTTAATGTATTCAAAATATCAATGAATTTTAAAAACTTTTATAAAAGTCTCTAGTGTATTAACTTGTAAGCAAAAAGTACAAAAATAAAATCCCAAAATTTTTCCCATTCATCCCAAAATTCTGGGAGACTTCGAACAAAATAAAAAAGAAAAAAGTTTAATATATATTTTGTTCTTTTATTTCATTTTTCTTTTCCTTTGTACAAATATATGATCAATGATTTAAAAATTATTTTTCTTCTACTGGTTATATGTATTTCTAATTTCCTTTTTTCTTCTCTCTCTCTCTCTCTCTCTCTCTCTCTCTCTCTCTCTCTCTTATTATTTTTCTCCGTTTTCTATGATAATTAATTTTTTCATCCATTTTTATGAAGAACTATTTATAATTAAATTTTATAGGACTTTATATATATAAAAAAAGACTAAAAAACTTCTATAAAAATCTTTAAAAGTTTTTAGAATGAAAATTTATAGAAGTCTACTAAAAACTTCTATTAATTCCATATAAATTTATTTAAGTCCGCGACTTTTACAAAAATCCACCACTCAAAAAAAAGTCAACAAAAATCTTTAAAATTATCAATTAAATAAACCTCCTTAAGTTTCACCTCTACTATAACAATCACCATCTCTGGTGACAGTACATTACACATTTTATCGAATATCTCCATCGTCGCCACGATCACCATGTTCCTCGCACCCACCACTTATAGCATTAGTTGTTATATCATCACAATCGACACACTACTTTTAACATTTATTGTTATACACTATCGAAGTTGTCACTTGTAACATTCATTGTTACATCACCATTGTACCACCAAACCAATCCCACCTCCACCATAACGACCAACTCAAACCTAAATCACCACCATCACTAGTGGATCTATACATTGCCACCGTCACCACCACCATCATATATCTCCACTTTCAAACCCTAAATCATCCCAAAGCATGACCACTTTCACCATCACCACTATCCACCAACTTCAACCACTACCGAATTTCCACACCAATAACAAACCACACAAAGAGAAAAATCAATTTGAGATATTTAAAAAAAAAAAAGTATCAACCCTAAAAATTGAATTGCTCCAACCATAATTTTTCATTTCTGAAAAATCAAATTTTCTCAAATCTAAATTTTAATAGTGGTAGAAGGAGGTGGTGACAAAGCTAGCAGTGGTGGAAGAAAGTGGTGGTTTATGGTTTCTTTGGGTGGGGGATTTAGTAGAGACGAGTAATTGTGAAAATGGTGGAGGGTGGTTAATGAATGGCAGTGACGGTTGAGGTGGCAGCGGTGGCGACAGCAATGATGGATGGTGATGAATGGTGTTAGCTGTGGTGGTGTACGAGGAGGTGCCAAAGATGGTGGTAGTTCCGGTGAAGTTCTTTTACATAGTGGTGGTCAATGGTACCTTAACGACCCGTGTCCCACTTAGCGAGCTGTCCCGACCGTTAGATCGATGACGTACTGTCCCCACTATACCAACATAGGTCTTTTTAGCATGCTTTGTCCT